TTTTATCTCATTCCCTACTCTCCTCCGCCTACTCTTACCAAGGAATCCATTTTTCGTCAACGCCCTGAAAAAGAATGTCCAGTTGCATCGATATTTAAGTTGAGATTTACGGACACCGTTTGAGCACTACCGCTCAAATGAAACCCATGCTACTTAGACTAAAGTGTCCATCGTAAAACACTGTTTCTTTCACTTAACTCACATCCTTTTGACCACCTGATCATCTAATCCCTAGGTTCTTTTCTGTTGGATGTTTCCAAACTTCATTCACGTTCTCTTTGCTCTTTCATTTTCACCATTGCTTCCTCTACATCTCTTTCTCAACGCATCTGTTTTGATGCCACAGAGCCAACTCGGAATCACTTCTCATCTTTATTTCAGTCTTGTTTTAGGAACCCGTTCGAGCATATCCGCTGAAACAATGTCAACACTACTCGGACTAAAATATCCTTCCTAAAACCTTGTTCGTTCTCCTAAAATTATCTTCTATTGACCAAATTTCCTTTCTTCCTTAGTTTCTTCCTGCTGGTTTGACTTTTTATGCTTCGTCAAGCTCTTTCCTTCGTAAGCTGAATTTTGCCCACCTCACAGAAACGTTTCTATTTCTGTTTATATTGCACGGTCTCCCTAGTGGCAACTGATCGATTCCTTGTCCCGTGGTTTTTGATCGGCGATGGAAGACTTGGCGAGGTCTGAAACCACATTCCCCCGTCTTGACCCGGTCACCCTCGCCCAAACAGTGATATCACTCAGAAGCTACTCGTACTGGCATGACTTCATACAACTGCATTTTACAAACACAAATCTCCGAGCACATACATACACATAAAACCTTTCAAAAACTCCATCCATTCTAGCTTTGTCGTTGTCCACCTCCTCATGACGAACGCTTGCCATTTTCAACCGTGTCCGATACTCACCGTTTTCATTTGTAGTCCTTGATCAAACTAAATCCTAATTAGCACAATTCACTGGCATGTGTAGACATTTCAATTATTCCAATTCCACGTGTGTTGCGTTTCTTCTCCGTACCTCCTTATCTACAGAACTGTAAACGTTCAAAAATGTGCTACTTTGCTCACCTTCTCTCTTATCAATTCCCAAATGAACCGAATGTCCATCGACCGTTTTGTGGTTCTCTTTATTTGTCGCACGTAAGCAATCGCGTTCTGCTGTTTTTTAACCTTAATAACTCTGTCGACCTAAACGTTCTACCGTTTATTGTACAAAATAATCGTGCACCCCAGCATGCCTCACGGCTTCCTTCGTGAAATATACCATTGTTATTTTTATTGACTACTAGCACCGGATCTAGTTGTGGCTCCCACCAAGTTGATCGATGCCTATTGCTCCTGTGTTTCAGGGGTGCAAACCTATCAGTCACTCTAAGCAGCCCAACTTTAATGGCAGACCATCGTTCTTCCAACGTCGGCTCCGGAGCTAGTGGAACCAAATCTACGTGTTTTGAGGCCTCTTGTAAGGCAGCAATGTTTATACGGCTATAGCACTATTTAAGTGGGGCAGCCGGTTTGTTGTGTTAAATGGGTAATACTAACCTAAGTACCCCATGGTCACTCTTACCCAGTGGATTCTCCACAGCTACCTCACTTATGTCCGATGAAAACCTCGTTATAACTAAGTCCAGAACGGAGGCCCTCTGTTGGTTGCGAAACCTTGTGGCCTGCATGATGTGCTGAATGAATGCATGCTAATGTAGCCACGGTAGAAAGCTTTCTCCCTTGGTCCCAACGGGAGCCTCTCCCTCTGCCCAGCAGATCTCCGGAAGATTGAAATCACCCAGAATTAAGATCTTTTGGGTCCTCATTAGAAATTCCTGCACTGTATCAAGTAGTTTGATATCTTCTGTGGGTTCCGCGTGGGGGGCGCAATAGACTAGGAGCACTTTTAACCGTCACCCTCTCATGGGGATACTATGCACCTTCGTTTGAACAGTAGGTGTTGCCAGTTTTACTGGTGAGTACCATTGAGTGTAAGCGGCTTTGACCAGCAGGAGTACTACTCCGCCTTGTCTGCCGTCCACACTATCTTGCCTAGAAGCCGAAAAATCTCTGGGATTCTCTACATTCTGCTCATGCCGCATCCAAATTTCATTGACAGCTATTATCAACCAGTTTTGGGCGCACGTCGCCAATTTTCCCCATTTTCCCCTAACACTGTAAGCGTTAGTCTACCACACTGTGACGGTGTCTACCTTCGCTTTCATACAACTCCACTCTATTTCTTGGGGTGGATCCTCAGACGTAAGGCCCGAGGAACTATTGCGTTTTCTAATACCATATTCTCGGGTACCGGGCGATCAGGCTCCGTGAACAACCAGGCTAAACCTCCCCCCCCACAGACTTCGTTATGTCTTTGAGGGTTAATCCAAATTCCTCACGGAGTCTTTTCGTGAGCGCTCGCTGCCTTCTAAGCATGGATAGTGTCCTACTCAGAGGGGAGTGTC